AGGAGCCTTATCCGCGGCAGCAGCCCCTGTGGCTGCCGGGGAGTGGGATGAGAGCCGAGCCCCTGCGTGCGGCTGAGCCCTCGCCCGGCCCCATCCCACTCAGGCAGGGTTATAGGCAGGAGGGCCGGGGAGATAGCGGGACACCTGCCTTTTCCTGCAAGAAACCCAAGGTGGATTTCCCACCCAGCACAGCTGGAATTCCCTGGCCTCCTGGCTCCGTGGCCCATATTTCTGTGTAAAACAGGCTTCTTTCATTGCAGGAGAACCCCCAGGCCACCAAAAAAGAAGAAGTGGAAGGTGCTGACAGTCACAGTGACCAAAGGCTGGAGAGCTGCCCGACCCCCGAGCAGAAGGGTAAGGAGGTCTCCTTGGATGGTTCTCAGTACACCCCCTCGCCAGCCTCACAGGAGGACCTGGAGTCAGACGTCTCCGACGACTCCGATCAAGAAGTGGACATTGAAGGTGATAAAGGCTATTACAATCCTACCCACTAACGGCCCCATGCGGAGAGTGGACCCTAACTCGGCTTGCACTTTACCAGGGGCTGGTTTGGAAGAATATTATGCTACAGGAGAAAACTTTCACCGTTCCACTGAAAAAAAAAAAACCAACCCAACACCAAATAGACTCATTTTATAATAAGCAGAGAAAGAAAGATGTATTTTCCGCAAACAGTCCATTTTTGGCAGATCTCTAATTTGGTTAAAGGAACATGGTTTGTATTTAATTATTTGTAAGATATATTTGTACATTAATCGATGTTCTAACTGGAATATAATACTGCACCCTGTCCTTACTCATGGGGGGTCTGAATCAGCTGCTGTTGGTGATCAGGCAAAACTCCTCTCTAGCTAGTGTGGAAGTGAGTATGGATTGCAGGACTAAGCCCTTTGTACGTGTAAACAAATGTAGTTTAAATAGATTAATTTAAACACCCTTTGCAAGCAGAGAAACATGTTCTGTGAAATAGGGAGGGATTTGACCATCCCGACAAGTGCCTTATGCTCACACCCTTTTACCTGCCGTGGTGCTCTCCACCGAGACATCCCTCTGTTCATCAGGGAGAGTCTTTGGACAGATTCATTTTTGCTCTTGCGTGAGACGAAATGTGCCTTCTCAGATTTTTGAGGACTTTGCTCCGCAATCTGGATGGTTCCATTTGCAGGACAAAAAGCACATATTTTTCTCCTTGAAAATCTCTAGCACTGTTTTTTGCAGATTCCGTATTTGAGAAGAAAATGCAGGGAGTGATAGGGTCCTGCTGCAGGAGAGAAGCGGGCATCAGCTGTGGGGGATAAGTGAGGCACACAGCCGTGGGAAGATAATGCCTATTGTATACATATCTGCTTCTGTACATACTAGTTTTCTTTAAAAGTCTTGCAGTTTTATACCTCACATTGTTCATATTTTGTACATACTTGTTCAATGTTTTAAAAAAAAAAAAAAAGCCAAACCTGGTATTTAATTTTTGATGGACTTGTCTGTGAAATAAAACTAAACTCTGCCCCTCCTGCCACGCTGGCCGTCCAGTTACTGGTAGGAGAAATCCCAAACCTCCCCCCCGCCAGCAATGCCAGGCGTGTTGTAACCGGGCTTTTCCCTCCGGTACCGCGCCAGTCACCGGCCACCCTGCAGCCCTCTGAGCTCACTCGCGTTGCGGGGATCTCGCGTGGGCTCATTGCTTATTTTTTTGCTATTTTTCAGCCTGCCACCCCGCCTTTCGGTTTTGCCTGGACCCATGCCTCCACGCCTCCTGCCTGCTCGGGAACGGGCTCTGCGGCGGGAGGACGAAAGCCTGGTCTGCGAGCCCCGGCTGGAAGCGTGG